GAGAGAGAGAGAGAGAGAGAGAGAGAGAGAGAGGATATAGTTCCTTAGCAGTTTTGGCAAAATTGCTTATGTTTTGATGGGACGACATCTGAAAGTATTTAATCACTATATGCTTTCACCGGCTTGGAAACTCGATTAGAGATCTATGGCACATTAGAATTTTTATGGAAATTGATGCCTTTCCTTATTCGTTTCTTAGATACGTAACTTTCTTGCCAGATTGGTTGATGCCTTTGTTAAGCGTTTGATGGATTTGTCTGTTCTCTCTTTCTCTCCCCCTTTTGAATTTATCAGGAAGTTTGGCATGAATTATCTTTTCCTATCTTTTATGGTTTCATAAATTTAATCAAATGGCACTATATTTTATTTCATTTGATTTCTTCTTTGGTATTTTATGGCTCTAGGAGACGGGGAGGTGAACCTAAGTTAACATTTTGATGCCAATATAGCTATGTTTTGAGTTTCCACAGTAATACTTATGTTTTGAGCATTTTCGGATTTGGTGATTTGTTTTCAATTTAGCAACGAATACTCCTTGATATATTAAATGAAAGGTCATCAAAATACAAATGCCTTGTCTTATTTTTGAATCTATGTATGTCTTGTTTTATTGATGTATACTTTTGAATTTGGGGTCAATGAAACCTTCTAATCATGAAATGCCTTTGTATCATTTCTGAGTGACCACCTTGGTCGGTTCTCTTACTATGATCTTTAGTGCAAGAGCTTAATTGTTATCGATTTAGTGCTTTCTCCCAACCCCAGTTCGTAAAAATTTGTATCTAGTATCTACTGCGTTCATGATACGATTCAATTTGGGGATTCCTGTGTATAGCATGTTCTGGATTTTAGATTCATGGCAAAATTCATCTTAGAAGCCTCTGGTTAAAAGTTTAATTTGTCCCAAACTAGCACAATGGTCATTGAAATGGATCAAATTGACTAGGAGGAGGTGTTACCCCATGTATGTGTCACCTTCCTCCATTCTAAATCTCTCCCTTTGTATGTGAGTTTTTTCAAGAGAGGATACATGTAGAGAGGTCACTACAATTCTTGTTGCATGGAAAAATAAGGTGCTCTGAATTGGGGCTTGGATCGTTGTTTTGACATTTCGCTGTGGATAATGCACCTCTTAAATTCCTCAATGGCTATTGCACCTACTTGCTATGCTCGGCAGCCTTAGATTAACTCGTGATCTGCTTGTCAAGCTCCAAATTGACTTCTCGCGGGATGGAGGAGCAAGACAAATGGAATTCACCTACCACAGTAGGCGTGTTTGGTTTCCAATAGATCAACATTATCTGGGAATTGGAGAGTCAGATTTAATAAAGAAAGCCTTCGGAGTTTTAGTGAATATGCGTTTGAGTTTGGAGTAAGAGGGCCTGTGGAGCTAGGTTGTGTAATGTGTCGGGAGTCGGGACTCATGATCTACTTAACTTTTTTTGATGATTTTAATTGAATTTTATTAGAATATTGAATTGTTTACAGTTACATTTAGGTATCAAGGAGGTATCAAGATGACAACTGAATGTCTAATTGTACCCTTATCAACTATAGGTATCTCTATGGGATTTGGGGAGTGAGATTTGGATTTGTATTGGAGAGGTGAGTATGATGACGATGATGTTGTGCTCTTTGTGTTTTCTTTATTTTTTTTCTGTTGGAATTTGTCTGCCTGTGGAGCCAGGTCATGTCAGGTCAGGTCAGTATGTTATGTAGGACACTAAGATCTTAACTTGTAAGTGGAAAAGTTGTGGTGAAGTGTCGGGACTTAGGAGCTACTTTTTTTTTGATTGATCATAAAATTTTATTAGAATAGTGAATAATTTACTGTTACATTTAGGTGTCAAGGAGGTATCAGGATGACCACTGAATGACCAATTGTACCCCAATAGACTGACAAGCATCTCTATGGGATTTGGGGAGTGAGATTTGGCTTTGTTTTGAAGAGTTCAGTATGATGGGAAGGAATTCATGTTCTCTCTATGATGCAAGGAGAAATTGTAACAAACCAAAAAATAAAAATAAAATAAAAGTTTGAGAGATTATACCTTTTCTCTGGGTTTGCAAGGGAATTACCCCAAAAGATATTTTCACAATATCAACTTTTTACTGAATTACCAAATTCTCTTCCTTTCACCTCTCCTACACCCATGCAATCTCTCATTAAAACCAAATGTATCACATCCAACTCCCATAGAGAATTGACTACTATACCCTTTAAATCTCTACAACTAAAGAAGATAATAATAATCCTAAAGAAAACTAAAATATCAAATAACACCTTTTCTAAATAAAAAAATAAAAAATTAGAAAACCCTGATTTTTATTTGCATCATATTCTCCCCAGGTTGGGAGAAGCTCGACCTTGGGCTTATAGAACTCAAATCGTTTAAAGGCCTTTTCAAAAGTTGGTGATGCAATCCTACCGTGCATCTCGATACTTTTTCATTAATAAACCGATTGATCAATTACTTCATGCTTATCTTGAAGTAGGACATTGGGATCTTGGGCTCAATCGTGATTTCTTTTGCTTTTTCAAGTTCCTCTTAAAACTTGGGAAAATCAAGCTAAATGTCAAGATCATGATCATGTGGCTGCTCCTCAGATCATGTATCTTGCATCCCAATGTGATTGTCACATTCAAGATCGGCAACCCTAGTTAGTCGTGGGCCTCTATTCATCTCTACGACGAAATCTAGTGTCGGATCTTCATGGTTGTGAGCACCCCTTCTTAAATAATAGTATTGTCCAACCGTTGTAACCGTTGATTCATTTCACAAACTTCGGTTCAAACATCCTACGTGCTTTTGGTCAAATTTTCTAAAACTTTTCCCAGGCGATCATCCATAGCAGGATTAGCTTTCGGTGGCATTGCAATAGCTGGATCTTACTTGCCCTGATACTAACTAATACGGGGAGAAATAGTAACAAACCAAAAACTAAAAGTAAAATAAAAGTTTGAGAGATTATTATACCCTTTCTCTGGGTTTGCAAGGGAATCCACCCCAAAAGATCTTTCCACAAGATCAACTATTTACCAAATCACCAAATTCTCTTCCTTTCACCTCTCCTACACCCATGCAATCTCTCGTCAAAACCAAATCTATCACATCCAACTCCCATAGAGAATTTACCACTCTACCCTTTAAATCTCTACAACTAAAGAAGATAATAATAACCCTAAAGAAAACTAAAATATCAAATAATATATTTTCTAAAATAAAAAAATAAAAAATAAAAATTTAATAAACCCTGATTTTTATTAGTGTCACTCTATGTCTTTAATTTTTTTAATAGAATTGGTGTGCTGCTACTCTCATTGAAGGAGTGCTCCAAGGGGTAAGACATATTGTACAGTTTGTGGTTGGGGAGTGGATGGCTGCTGCTCCCTGGACCCTGGTTATTGGAAAGGTGGTCTAGGGTTTAGGGTTTAGATTAACTGTTAGTAGCCTCTCTCTGTCTCTCTGTCTCTCTGTCCTCTTCTCTTCTCTCTCTCGCTTGGTATTAAAAGAAGGTACTGGTAGCTGATTATAGGACTTTGTGTTTGTAAAACAGTGGTTGTTGATGAATAGGACTTCCTCTCTACTAGAACCTAGATCTCCCTCTGTTCTCCATCTGAAAAAGTGGGGACTTTTATATCAAAAAAAAAGAAGTGCTAGGAGCTTAGAAAGCTACTATGATTGAAGGCTATGTACTTGAGGGTTTGCTCACATGAAAATCGGGTGTTTCACTTTGTATGTATTTGGAGACAGATGCACCACTCTTCGGGGTGGCTACTTTCTTTTGGCTTGGATACAAACACATAATTTTATGAATGAAAATTAAACTGAAAGAAAGGCAGAATGCATTTTGATATGATACCTAACTTACCTTAATCTTGAGCCATATGGAGGTTTTACGAGTAATTTGTTTACTATGCTTGGTGGCCTTAATATAAGGCATATCTGTCTTTCTTTTATTGTATTTTAAGTTATAAAACTTGTAAGAATTTTACCTTTTTTTTTTACGATAATATGTGGAAGATTTTATTCATTGTAGGTCATTTCCAACTTTTTACAGATGTGCTTCTTGCATTGCTTCATTACTTTGCAGGTACTGCATGCATGTTATACAAAGGTTTCACCATCGGTTGAAGTGGATAATCCTGAGCTTGTGGTGTGGTCTGAGTCAGTTGCCGGGTTACTGGATTTGGATCCTAAGGAGTAAGTGCTTGATGCTTCCTTGACGGTGAAAGTGATGGTATATTAAGAAGCGTTTTTTTTCTAAAAGAATGTGCGATGATTAGTCATGATATTTCAATAGTTTTAGTTCTCTCATTTTATACATTGTTGGAATGTGTTCCAGATGGATCCATCTATGGAAAATTTCACAAGAATTTTCTGTTTCGTTCATCTCCCTTAGAGTCTACGATGTAAGGCAGAATCTGATTGTTTGAGTTTAAGGCCATATATGCCCCAACTCAGCAGTTTTCGAAACCATAGCTCCATTGATCATCCTTTAATTGAATGACGCAGATAATTTAGCTGCGGGCCTTGATGTAACATGCTTACATCATTATCTATCAGAAGAATTCTAAAGTTGTAAGTTGGCAGTCACCTGCACCTGAGCTATAAATGCAAGACTTCTTCCAGATTACCTCCTATTAATTCTTGATGATGTGGCCATTTTTGTCTGTGAAGCTTCAAATGTATGTCCGGACATCAGATAGACGTGTTAGATTACATATAGGCCCACTGTTCATCTTCACATTGTGGCTAGTATATTAATTTGTCCGATGTAGCCTCTGGGCACTAGAGTTGAATAAGATATAGTCAACTGCATAACTATTTTCATGTTTCTTGGTGACTGCCTTAATTATGTGCCACAACATTTGCTATAGCAGGCTTGCCTGTTGATCTATGCTACTTTGGTGCTGATTATGATATTATAGATTGCTTCTTTGACATAGTTGTGGGGGAAGCACCACCTGTTGATGCAAGTTTCTTTTTTGAATTAAAGAATTGTAGGATATGACAGATTATTGGAGATTGCTCGTAGAAAGAGTGGAAGTAAACTAAGGAGGGAGTAAGAGATGTTGTGGAAGAAGAAGAGTAGAAGATGGTCAAGAGTTAAAATGAGGGACTTTTATATAAAAGAAATGTAAGGAATGTTGGATTGAGGAAACAAGGAAATTAAGGCTGGGGCTGAGACATTCATGTATAGAAACTCTGCCTATTGCGTGGTTGTTTAGTCATGAACTGTTGTAGCAGACGAGGCAAGTCTTGACATCTTGGCAATGGGAGGATCTTGTTTGACAGAAGAGCTGTGGGTGCATTTGTTGAGAGAAACGGAAATCAGTTTTGTGTTTTTTTGTTCTAAACGTTAGTAGTTGGTTAGCAATTTTGGAAACCGTCAGTAGTTTTTGAAAGGGGTTAGTGTTGGTAGGAATGGAAACCGGGACCGGTAGCTGAGTCATAGGTGGTGCTACCACCTTGACCTCAACCCCATTCCTAGGAAATTAGTTTTGTTGTTTGCCCTTTTCACTCATTGTGTTTTTTTCCTTTGTGTTTTTTGGGGGGGCGGGGGGCTGGGGTGTGGGTGGGTGGATTTGGCGGTGTTTGAAACTCATACACCTCGTAAGTTGGAATTGATCAGATGGCTTTCATAAATCTCAATTTTTTTGGAAATTTGTGCCTAATGTCTTTCACATTTTGATTTAAGAGGTGCAATGGCTGGGATCATTGGCTTCTTAGATGATCGCCATTATATCAATCAAACCAGTGGACAGACTGCAAGGTGGTTGTTGCAATCTGGAATCCCTTTTGTGGCCTGATTAGGACTGTCATTCATTATTCTTGGTGATCAAAAGCTTCAAGACGTCTGTAACCTTTGTTCAGCCAATTTAGTTGGTATAGCAAGTTAGTCTCTAGTATGCATGAAAGCTTGGATTTTGGTTTCCTTGTTGGAGGTGGTTGAGCTAGGATCTGGAGAGAATGCTAAGAAGTTTACCTGGTGGAATTGTGTTAGGAGGTTTTGGAAGCTAGGGATTTTCATGTCCAAGATGGTTGTTGATGGGACAGAATGAGAGGAGATGCGATCAAAGTTCATTGAGATTTTGTCAGAAAGCCTCGGTAGGATTTATGCGCAGAGGGTTGCTTCATGTATGAGAATTTGGATCTCCTATTAGGAAAGCATTTGAGGTGTACAGTGGAAGGCAACTAAGAAAGTGGTGTGGGTAGGTGAAGAAGGATGGGAGGATGACTACGTCAAGTCACTGAATTTCTAGCTTCACAGTGATGTGTCTAGTCCTTTCTTTATTTGAATCAGTGTTCGCAAAACCGGCCGATCTAACCACTTACCTCCCAGTTAGATCGGTGGCCGGTTCCGGTTTTGGGCGGCTTTGGTGATCAACCGGTATTTTAAACATTAAATAGAATATTACTTCAAATTCATATCAAATGTATTAGAATGGCTTATTGGTTAGCTTTGATGTTGAAGTTTCACGTGAATCATGTTCGAATCCTGTCGCCAGCAGCTTTTCTTTTAAGAATCCATTTCTCCTTGGTTCAAAAAAATTACTTTTCTTTTAAGAATCCTTTCTCGTTGGTTCAAAAAATTACCTTGTCTTTTAAGAATTCATTTCGTAGGTTCAAAAAAATTACTTTTCTTTTAAGAATCCATTTTGTTGGTTTAAAAAACATTACCTACCCACCGGAATCGAACTCGAAACAAAAATTACCTACTTACCGGAATCGAACTCAAAACATTTTATAAAGAAGTCTTTTATTATTAGACCTTGTTACCAATACACCATTTACTACAAGATTGGCAAAAAGAAGGGCCTATATATATAACTTATTTTTTTTTCATTTTCTTTTAAAAATAAGAGTTGGCCAAGTCGATTTTTTTTTAACATTATTTTAATATTCTTTACATTATGGTAAAGATTAAAATTTTTTTTGGTCATTGATACCCACTTTTATATTTTCCCATCTTTTTCAGAAACTTTTAACGCCATTTACTACTTAGTTGACAAAAAGAAGGCCCTATATTATATATAACTTAATTTCTTCTTCATTTTCTTTTAAAAAAAAAGAGTTGGTTAAGTTGATTTTTTTAACTCTATTTTAATATTATTTACATTATGGTAAGTATTAAAAGAAAATTTGGTCATTTATATTCACTTTTATGGAGTTATCAAAAAAAAGATATTCACTTTTATATTTTCCCATCTTTTTCAAAAACTTTTAAAAATACCCCTAGGCACAAATTGATTCGTTAAAATACATTTTTTGGATTAATTTTCAACTTCATTTGAGTGTGTTTTGTTTTATTATATGCTTTTCATATTTTAATATATTATTTTTGTATCTTTTTCATTTTTTTTAATATTTTTTTGATTGTTCGGGACTTGCCCGGTTAGAAGCGGTTGAATCGGCCGGTTTACCGGTTAGGCCTGTTAAATCGATTCCGGGCCCATTTCCGGTTAACCGTTCCTGTTCAATTTTGCAAACACTTATTTGAATCCACTTGAATGTACAATAATTTCGCATGACCTAAAGAATAACAAGTTAGCTGAAACGGAAGATTCAAATGGCAAGCTCACTGGGCTTGCGCTTGATTGTTTAAGAGTTAACAATCTCAACGAACTTCCCAAGTTCGAATCCTACCACTGAACTACCTAAAAAGAAAAAAGCTGCTGCAATGAAGGAATCTTACACGAGAAACCAAATCTTTCTACAAAGTGCTTACACAATCCCCCGAATGCCTGGCAAGTCCCTGATCTTTCTGTTGTTGGCTGTGCTTGACAAGCTGCTAACCATCTATAATCTACATAGTAGGGGAATCCCTGACAGGTGCATGCTGCGCAAAGAGCAGCCTGAATTACTCAACTATTTACTTCTCCAATGTAAGATGGCTTCAACAATCTGGTCACAGTTCATTCAATATTTCGGGTTAAGCTGTGCTTGCCAGCTTCCACAGATGAGCTGCTGAAGCCTTCCCCTCTGATGCTGGCAAAGGGTTTTTCCTGTGAAAGTTGGTTTAGATGCTCACTTTGACTGACCATAATCGAAGAATGTTTCAGGGCAAGTATTCTGAGGCACTCAAAATTAGGAGCAGATCAAACACCTGATTTTGACATGGGCAGTGGCAAGGAAAGGATTTTGGGGGATTTTATCAGTTTTACTTGGGCCAACAATGCAGAACTATAAGCTGGAGTAGAGTCCCTTGACCTTGATTTCCTCAAATTTTGTCCCAACCTCCCTTGGCTGCTACAAATCTTAACTTTGATTGTTGCTCAAGGGAGGATCAAGGGCTTTTGCAAGTCACACAAAAGCTCCATCGTCCTCACCGTCTTTGCTCCTGCTGACCCATGCGGTTTCAATAGGGCAGAGACTTGGCTCTCTTGATAGGCATTAGGTATAAATTAAAATAATTATACATATGAGTTATTTTGTTAAAAAGGTACAAATAAAATAATTACCAAAATCAACTTTCAAAAGTAAATAATCAAAATTAACCATTTCTTTTATCTATGGGTAAATGTTCTTGTACTTGCCATGGTAATAAATATCACCTAGAGAAATAATCAAATTCTATGTGAAAATGGATCATAAAAATGAAAAATTCAAGCAGTTAGCATTTAGCAATCAAATTAAATATAAGGAAATTTGTCAAAATGCATCTCAGATATTAACTATTTGACATTTTACCTATCTGTTTTGATTTAATTTAAAAATACCCATCAAAATACACATGTTCTGAGTTGGAATAGTAGAGAAACAGTAAAATGTTAAATAGTTGAAATTGAGGTGTATTTTGATAAATTCCCCTTAAATATATTGCATTCATGCTGTGTGGATATCACAAAGTTAATTGTTGGCGTGAGTGATGGTCATGGACTTCTTGTTGTTGTAGATACTGCTAAGTTATATTGGAAAGATTTTCTTTGATGTTTTACTTCCTAGTTCAACAATGCATGGGCAATGCTTGATTGTGCGGTAGATTGTTTAATGCATGCACATGGTCCGTACACATTGCAAAGGAGCATACCTGCTATTAGTCAAAATGATTGGATGCTCAAACAATGTGCTGGTTGGTGTGGACTAGTATATGCTTGTTCATTCACTTTCATGTGCCAATATATTTTTTTACTGGCAATTAACTTCCTATCATATAGTCTGAAGCTCTTTTATGTTTTTCGTTGTCATTAAAGTATCTGTTTTCTTCTACAATTATTTTCCTACCATTATTTCCATTTTTCGTGTTTTCCTCCAATATCGTTATTGACTATAGTCTTGGTTGACATTCTTGGTTAATATTACAGATTCGAAAGACCAGATTTCCCACTCTTTTTCTCTGGGATGTCACCTTTGATTGGCGGGTAAGTGGACGTGGTTGGGTCTTAAATCTGTCTTTGAATGGACATTTATGTTAAAGAACAAAAAATAGAATTTTAAGGGACCAATGGTCTTTTTCCTTTTTCTAGCTCTATACTAATTCTCTTTTTTGTCAGGCTGCCTTATGCACAGTGCTATGGAGGGCATCAATTTGGCATGTGGGCTGGCCAGTTGGGTGATGGTCGAGCCATAACCCTTGGTGAGGTGTTGAATTCGAGAGGTGAAAGATGGGAGCTGCAACTTAAGGGTGCTGGGAAGACCCCATATAGCCGCTTTGCTGACGGGCTTGCAGTCTTGCGCAGCAGCATCCGTGAATTCCTGTGTAGTGAAGCCATGCACAGCCTGGGAGTCGCAACTACACGTGCACTTTGTCTTGTCACAACGGGGAAGAGTGTCACCCGCGACATGTTTTATGAGTATGCTATTTCTTCTTTTCCTGGGTCATATATATTCAGCTACTTGATATTATTTTTGCAGTAATCTAGGTTTAATTGAACTATTGGCCAGTTTGATACTATTTTTGAAGTAATCTAGGTTTAACTGAACTATCAACCAGTTTGATAAAAGAATACATTGAGCTTATACCAGTTCAGTTATTTGAACATAATGATTCACATCATCAATCGATTTGGATTCTTGATTATTTGGATTGAAGTCAATAAAATGTACAATCTATGAAGTTTAATGTGTGCCCTTTTGATTTAGTGTCTTTAGCTTTATGCTTAGAATTAGCGTCTTAAAATGCGGGATGTGGTCAGGGGCGCTGATGCGGCCATGTGGCTCAATGTGGTTCAGATGTAGGCGCATCACCCTGATGCAGGCAATAAACATAAATTTTTTTCTAAAAATATAAAAAATAGGTTCATGCTTGAAAAAAATATGGAGGTGATTTATGAGATAGTTGGTAGTAATTTATTCGTTAACTCCAATATTATTTGCTGTTGGAGACTCTAAATCCCCCTGATAGAAGACAATTAGAAAATAGAGACTAGAAGCCTGAAAGTAACTTTATAGAGGACATCATACTATCAGAAATATCCAAAACTTTTGCCTTCCTTTTTTTTTTTTTTTTGAACTGTTTTTTATGATAAAATAGCCACCACTATGGCTATTTTTTGGGTTTTGGGGGTTTTGCTCCCCCCAAAAGAAAAAAAGGTCGGGGCGGGGGGATTTACCTAACTGCCCATGCTTGTGGGCATTATTTTCGCTCACTCGCTTGGGCAGGGATGTGCCCACATATGCGGGCGCATGCCTAAAAAGCGCATAGGCACCTCAAGCTGCATAGCACATGATGGGGCCGCATACAGTGCTATGCAGCTGCATTTTAAAACACTGCTTAGAATCTCGTTGATAATAGGGTGAGGTTTTTTTATAAGGTGCCCTCCTTATACTATAGAAGTAAGGTGCAACTTTATATTTTGCTTGGAGATGTAGTTTCAAAAAGCTTATAATGGCTTGAAACTCTATTTTCATCTCTAGTTATGAAATTTAAAATTCCAAAAATGGTATAGATTGAGCAGATCTATAAACACTTGAAAATAGACAGTCCAGATAACTTGTTAAAAGATAAACTATTTTTAGGACTTGAATTTTTTTTTTCTTTAGATTCATATCCCTCGAGGTCGAGATGATCAATTGGAGGGCTTTCCAACACAGAACTCTCTCTTCTAGATGATTTTTGAGATGCACCTTTCTTTAATAGTATAAGGTTGATACCTTGTATAAAACTTATTCCTTGATAATATGTTATATTTGTTAGCAGTAGGAATATATGGGTCAGTGCTTATGTTGTTGAATGATACCAATTGTTTTGAAGCACACCTAGAATCCTGATTCATACTGATTAATTTCTGATTTCTTGCAGTGGTAACCCCAAAGAGGAGCCAGGAGCCATTGTTTGCCGTGTGTCTCAGTCCTTTTTGCGATTTGGTTCATACCAGATACATGCCACAAGAGGCAAAGAAGACCTGGAAATTGTTCGTGTCTTAGCGGACTACACCATCCGCCACCACTTCCCCCATCTTGAGAATTTGAGTAAGAGTGATAGTTTATCCTTCAAAGCAGAAGGAAACGGAGCCTCCACAGTGGATTTGACATCAAACAAGTATGCAGGTGACTTGTTTGATTTTGATTCTTAGTAGTTCCCTAGGTTTCATTTATTTCCTTTACCATGGATGTAGATTATTTTTCTGTTCTGCAAGTCCACAGTGCATGTAAACTAATTGATGATGTGGGTATGTGAAGTACAAACATGAACAAAACAAGTGGGATAGTTCTTTGAAATGTTGTATGAAAGAAATACAACGAAGGAAATAATAATAAAAAGGCATGATACTAAAGGCCATATACACAATGAAATATTATGAAGAACTTCAGACATGTTTGTCATCAAGAATTAGAATTGTATATTTGTGTCATTTAATGGAACAATACAAGAAAAAGATCAATATTTGCAAGTAACTTAAATATAAAATAAAATAAAATGCAACTTCATACATTGTATGCAATGTTGTAATTAAACAACTTTAGCACATTCTGGTCATGTTGAAAAGATTAGAGTTGTTGTAGCTTTTTTCAAGGAAGATTGGGTAGATCATAATTAAAGGAGGTCACACCTAGGTGGTCCAATCATGTGCTCTAAGGCTCTTTCCCTCTTTCTTTCTTCTACTCTTTTCTTGTTTTCCATGCTTTGACAGGAACTTTACTAATACATTTGTACTTTTCTATCTGTTGTATTATCAGCTTGGGCGGTTGAAGTGGCTGAGCGCACTGCCCTCTTGGTTGCTCAGTGGCAGGGTGTGGGCTTCACTCATGGTGTTCTAAACACGGATAACATGAGCATTCTTGGACTCACAATTGATTATGGCCCTTTTGGGTTCTTGGATGCCTTTGATCCTAGTTATACCCCAAACACAACTGATTTGCCTGGAAGGAGATACTGTTTTGCAAACCAACCGGATGTTGGGCTCTGGAATATTGCTCAGTTCACTGCAACTTTATCTGCTGCCCAGTTGATCAGTAATGAGGAATCAAACTATGCCATGGAAAGGTATGTGTTTCTTCTAAGACTGGAGAATTCTTTGGATTGGTCTGACTGGTGATTTGAACTTCATTCTGGATTTGAATCCACAACATCAAGGTTGCAGTTGCGAGAGCCTTCAATTTTACCCATGGGCTTGAACTTGAAACATCGTGTATGAGATGAGTTACTTCCATGCAGCCGGATATAGAAATAAGGTTCTTGGCCCAAAGTGTTTAATTTTTGAAATTTTTATCATGGTTTAAACTGTTGTGTAAGGAATTCAGAGTGAATTCAGGCAAATACGCATGCCACTTTTAAAAGAAAACCTTAAATTCTTTTAAAAAATATGCAAGCCCCTTTTAAAAGAAAGTAGAAAAAAGTAAAAAGAAGAAGTGGAAGGCATGGTTCGAGAGAGAAACAGTCTCGAGAATAAAAACACCAACTGCCATTAACATTGAAGGAAGCCTCTCATCTCTCTCTCTCTCTCATTCTCTTTCCTTTTTCTCCCTTGCATAAATAATGTGCACGGTGTGCGAAAAAAGAAGGATTAAGGGAGAGAAACAATAAGAAAAACCATGAATGCCATTAAGATTGTAGAAACCCTCTCTTCTCTTTTGTCTTTTTTCTCCCTTATTTGCACTTTGAGAATGAAGTTATACATTCGAAATTGACCCCATTTTTGTTGGTGAAATTTATAATCGTACCCTTCCATCTTCTCTTTACACTATTCTAAATGTACTCACTCCCACAAACCAAAAGCACAAACAGTTGCCTGCCTAGGTTTCTAGGCGGCCGTATCCGACTTTTTAAACACTAGTGTACCGTTAATTTAGGATGTTATTTTTTCAGGCTCCGAGTGTATTTTATTTTTTATTTTTTTATTTTTTTCATTTTGGTTGCTAGGTTAAGTGTTACATTCCCATGTTTGGGTCCCTAAAAATAGCCATAGGTTGGGTTTTGCTTAAGGGAGCAAATGGACAGTTTGCTCCAACGGCGGCTCGGAATCATTTTAGTTGTAAAGAAATTGTTGAGTGTCATATGGGTTCGGCACTTTATATAACACTTAATTTTTTTCAAGTTAAAGTTGAGTCCAGCACTTCAAGTGGTGAACCCGTCTCTCCCAAAATAATTTCTTCCTACAAAAAAAGGGACTTAAAGCAGCGATCCGGTTCCCACATTTTTTTAATAATTTTTTCATTCTTTTTAAGTTCTTTCAAAATTTTATCTTTTTCTTGACCAATCTCATTAAGAGAGATGGTCCTACCCCTGGTATGTGCAATGGGGGCAGCCACAGGCCTAGGCAAGGGACATGAAGTGGTAGAGTGAACCACTTTTATATTGTCTTGCCTCTCAATATTTTCTCACATTTCCTTGATGTGGGACTTAAACTTATAAGCTAGTAACATTTATACAAAAAGCTTATACATTTATACAACAATGTTAACATTTATATAGAGGCCTAGCCAGGGAAGGAGCGCACTCTGTGAGAACCCCCTTTGAAACCCACTTTGCACCTTTTTGAGTTGCGTTTTTCTTTTTTTGCAAGTCTCTGGGCTGTATAGATTTTTTAGCTGCAGGTTTCTTTCTTGTAAGCCTCTGGGCTGTATAGCATTCGTCTTTTGAACCACTTTGTACATAACTATGTATAACCCACCTTGAGTGGGTGCTCTGCCTTGGATGAGGGAGCAATTTTTTGTACATTCCAAAAAATAAAACACATTTATACATTAGCTTATAAGCTAGTAACATTTATAGTACAAGGCTTTAACACTCTAATATAAAGCTATTTTATATAAAGCATTTGTATATAGCTTATACTATTGACTGAAAGCTTTCCTCTTGTTTTCAATCAACTTTTGGTCAAATTATCACCTTAAACAATGAAATGGCAGGAGAGCTCTACTCATTTAACAACTGTAATTTTTTACACAAAATATTGATATATGTTTAACCTACAAAATTGGTGGGTCGATAAGCGATTTCCAGAATATAAAGCTTTTTTTCATATAAAATGTTTCTATGTAGCTTACATAACTATTAACTCCAATTTTTTATAAAGCTTCCGTGTAAGCTATTAACATATATAGAAAATCTTATAGAAGCATAAGCTAGTAACATTTATAGAAAATCTTATATAAAAAATTTATTTTTATATAAATACTTTTATATAGAAGTTTTATATAAAGTCATTAGACAAAAGCTTACAAGGTAGTAACATTTATGCAAAAGCTTATATAACCGTTTATATAAGCTTTTGTATATAAAAGCTTATAAAAAAAAGTTTACATTCAAATGCTTATACAAGAGCTTACATACAAAAGCTTATATATAAAAGCTTTTGTATACAATGGGAACATGGTGGTAGAAGGAGCTTTTAGTATAAATGAAGGAGCTTTTAGTATAAATGAAGGCGGAGGTCATAGATATATTCGTAGGATTAGGATGTTGGAAGTGAAAGAAGCTTTGAAAATGATGAAGATAGGAAAGGCTTTAGGACTAAATGGAATCCCGATAGAAGTTTGGAAGTGCATGGGGGAGATTGGTATTGACTAGCTGACGAAGCTGTTCAACAAGGTGTTGAGAACAGAGAAAATGTTAGACGAATGGAGGAAAAGTATTGTGGTACCTATTCACAAGAACAAAGGAGACATACAAAATTGTGCAAACTATCGATGGATCAAGCTTATGAGCCATACTATGAAGCTCTGGGATAGAGTGATTGAGCAACGACTGAGGTATGAAACAAGTGTATCAGAAAATGAAGTTGGTTTTATGCTAGGAAGGTCAACAACCGAGCTATTTTTCTACTTAGGCAACTGATTGAGAAGTTTAGGATGAAGGGAAAAGACCTCCACATGGTCTTTATTGATCTAAAGAAAGCTTAGGATAGAGTACCTTGAGATTTGATTTGGCGGATGTTGGAAAAGAAAATAATCTCCAGACACTACATCGACTTGGTGAGAGATATGTATGATGGATCGGTAACTAGTGTACGAACAACTAGTGGAGAGACGGGTGAGTTTTCAGTGACAATAGGTCTAATCAAAGGCCAGCATTGAGCTCGTACCTCTTTATGGGTGACTTAACTAGGCACTTATAGGATGAGGTACCATGGTCCATACTCTTCGCAGATGACATAGTATTGATCAATGAGACCCGAAATGATGACACACAGAGAACTTTGGAGTGATGCTCTAGGATCCAAAGGTTTTAAAATTAGTCGGACTAAGACATAGTATATGGAATGCAAGTTTAGTAATATTAGGGGTAGAAACGGGGAAGTAGTTAAGATTGGTGGTCAGGAAGTACAAAAAAGATCGGATTTTCGATATCTTGGGTCGATAATCCATAAAAATGGAGAGATTGAGGAAGATGTCTCACATTGAATTATAGCGCGTTCGACGAAGTGGAGATGTGCAATTATAATTTTATGTGATCGCTGCATACCAATGAAGCTCAAGGGCATGTTCTATTGGACAACTGTGAGACCAACTTTACTCTATGGGCGGACAAAAAACAAGAT